TTTCCTTTCACGCATAATCAAACAAGCTGTCGCTTGCCTGATTTAACCGGTACTCAGATTTGCCTAGACACTGTCAAAAAATGAAAAATTCTTGGATGCGTAGTTCTGTAGTCATAAAAAATGTAGTCATAAAAAACGGAAAACGTCTCACGAACATAGGCGGAGTAGAATCAATTGCTCTAAAGGATTCTTGCATTTTAGCTGAATGCTGCTCTTTTATGGCCTTCACATCATCTTCTTTCATCAGACCTTCGTTGATCAGCTCATTAGCATAATGGCGTGGAACTGACTCTCGGCATTCGATAATCTAAAAAAGATGAAATTAACCCGTAGCCATAAAGCAGTGACTAGGTTCACTTACCCTATACATGAGAGGTTGGGTAAATGATGGGTCGTCCAGCTCGTTATGTCCCCATCGGCGGAAACACTGCATGTTGATGAAAACATCTTTGCGGAATTTCTCGCGATAGGCCATAGCCAGCCGGGTGGCTTTGACGACTTCCTGAACTCAATAAAAGGTGAAAAAAGAGAGGATAACGATGGTAAATGTTCACCTCAGGATGATCGCCATTGACATGGATCACCGGATACTCGAACGCTTTGGCAATGTCTAAAAATTCCGAATTTTAGAAAAAATTGTTTCCGTAAAAGAAATCAGTACAATGTTTCCCGAAGTTTAACATTAACCCTTGAACGGAATATTTGACACTTACCAGTACAGTGCGTAGACGACCTCCCTACATGGGCTTCAGCAGTAAAAGCAACTTGGTTATTCGTAACCAGATGAACCGTTCCACCCAGCCGGAAATGGGGTGCCTGACTGAGAGCAATGGACTCCCAAACAATGCCCTACAAGCAAATCCTTTTGAAAAACGGAAGGAAATTATTTCAAAAAAAAAAAAAAGAAAAGAAAAGAAATAGTTACAAGCAAACCTGTCCAGTAAAAGCGCCATCTCCATGGACGAGCACCGACAACACCCCATCTCCTGTTCGTGCCGAACGCTCTCTCGAATAATCACCTAAGCCCAATGATCTAAACATTTTGTAGGAACTCGGAAACAAAAAACTCGTACTGAAACCCTCCTACCTAGCTCTCGCACGTGCTTTACCCATTGCAACCGGATTCACTGCTTCCAGGTGGGA